CATAATCTTACTAAACATTTGCCTGCGTCTTTGTTTATTACCTTAAGGTCAGAACTTAGCCTCCCTCATCCTAATAGTTCCATATCATTTCATATTATGGATATTGATTACTTTATTTAGCTTTTTCTCAGAGGATATTTAGGTGGTTTTCAATATCTCATAGACATGAAATAGAGTAGGAGGGACTGCAATTTTAATATTAATAATTACCAAAATACCAAAACTGCATTTGTATTTATTACCACCAGCATATGATATTGTCCAGTTTACCACATACTCCTCTGAGAATTCTAAAATAAATTATTTATTTTATAAGAAATAAGTAATACATCCAAATGGTTTAAAAAAAAAAAAGAAGAGAAAGAAGAAAATACTAATACTATGTGGTGAAAAGTTAGTGTTCCTTTCACTCTGTCTCTTCCCAGAAAAAAACCTATTTGTGTCTGCCCAGTATATTTTATGCATATATAAATATATATAATACACAGACACACACACACATCATACTTTTGTATTACATAAATAATAGCTCCAGACTTTACTTTCTATGCTTAACAATATATCATGGAAAGTATATAACAGCAGTATAATCTAGAGCTGCCTCATTATTTTAGCTGCTGAATAGTATCACATAGTAAGAGTACACCATAATTTAATGAGTTCCTTACTAACAGATACAATTATATTTATATAATTATAAATAATTCTGCAATAAATATCCTGTGGATAAATCCCCCAAAACTAGAATTGTTAAAAGAATATTTATATGTATATGTGCTTATATATGTATACACACACATTTTTAAAATAAACTTTATTGAAATATACAGAAAAGCATACATAAATATTCAGTTCTATAAATTTTCCAGAGTAAAAGCACTGATGTAATTATTCCCAGATGAAGAAACAGATATTACCAACATTCCTAACTCTCTTTATCCCCCCAGTTCACATAAGGAGAACCACTACTTTGATTTCTAACACAATAGATTACTTTTGCCAGATTTGAAAGTTTATATTGTAGTCTTTTATTTTAATAGCTATCCTTTTGCATAAATTTTATCAAACTTATATAGGAAAATACGTATATCTAGCACCTTTACCTGTCCAGGGACTTTATAAATGACAATTTCAAAAGTTTAATAAGTGAATTAAATATTATGTAATTTTTATTTTGTCTCTTATAATGAGTGAAGGCCAGAATCTTTTCATATGCAGTAGAATCTTCTTATCTGGAGAGAATATATTTCATGACCCCCAGATAACCTCAAATACTACTGAGCTCTATGTATACTGTTTTTTCTTATATATACGTATGATAAAGTTTAATTTATAAGTTAAGCCTAAGAGATTAGTAATAATAATTGAATAGTTATAACAATATACTGTAATAAGTTGTGTGAGTTGGGTCTCTTTCTCTCCTTCCCCCGCTCTGTATTTCTTTATATATCTTATTATATTGTTCTGACCTCATTGACCACTAACGAGTAGGGTGGAGTGTCTCGATTTTTTTTTTATTATTTTCATTTTCTGTTCTGGATATTACTTCTGAAATTCTTTATTTTCTCTTAGGTTATTTTATAACTAATATCTATAAATCTTTTTAATATATATTACAAAAATGTTCATCCCCTTTGTCACTAGTCTTTTAAATTTTTATGGCATCTTTTTTATTTTGTAACAGTTTTAATAAGATCTAATTCACATATCATACCATTAACCATCTGAAGTATACAATTCAGTGGCTATACCATATTCAGAGTTGTGCATCCCTCACTGCAATCATTTTTAAATATTTTCATTACTTCAAAAGAAACCCCCAGCCCCACAACCCTTAGGTAACCTCTCCTCTGACTATTCTGAACATTTTATATAATTAGAGAACCATATAATATGTAGTCTTGTGTTACTGGCTTCTTTCACTTAGCATAATGTCTCCAAGGCTCATTCATATTGTAATATATGTATTGTACTTTATTCCTTTCAGTTGCTAAATTATATCCCATTACATGTGTATACCACATTACCGTTATCCATTCATCTGTTGATGGATATGTACATAGTTTTCACCTTTTTGCCAAAATGAATAATGCAGTTGTGAATATTTGTGTACAAGTCATTGTATGAATATTTCTTTCCTCTTGGGATATAGCTGCAGTGAATCACTTGGTCAAATAAGAGCTCTTAATTAACCTTTTAAGGACTGGCTAAACTTTTTTCCAAAGCACACATCATTCCACATCCCCCTAACATCAATGTATGAGGGGTTCCAATATATTCACATCTTCAATAACATTTATTTTCATCTGACTTAATTATACTTGTACTTGACTATGAAATGTTAAATCATTGTGGGTTCGGATTTTTTGTTTGTTTTTGGTTTGGGTTTTTTTTTTTTTTTTGTGTGTGTGTGTATGTCTGTGTTAGGGTGGGTTCTTTTTAACTCTCTCAAAATTTTAATTGTGGCTAAAAAAAAATATTACATAAAATGTGTCATCTTAAACACTTTTTAAGGTATAGTTCATAGTGTAGGAATATTCACATCTCCAGAACTTTTTCATCTTGTAAAAATGAACCCATTGAACAATAATTCCCCTTTTTAACTTAACCCAAGCTCCTGGAAACCACTATGTAGAATAGTATCTGTCTCTGTGAACCTGACTCTTCAGATATCTCATTAAGTGAAATCATACAGTACAGTCATCCTTTGGTATCTGCAGGTATTTGGTTCCAGGAATACCAACTTCCTCTGCAGATAACAAAATCCAAGGGCTCAAGTCCTTATTAAAATAGCATAGTATTTGCATATAAACTATGCATATCCTCCCCTATACTTTTAATGATCTCTAGATTATTCATAATATCTAATACAACTTAAGTACTATGTAAATAGTTATTATTATTGATTAGGTAATAATCACAGGTAAAGTATCTGCATGTTCAGTATAGATGGACTTTTTTTTTTAACATTTGCAGTCCTCAGTTGCTTGAATCCTCAGGTATTGAACCTGCAGATACAAAGGGCCAGCTGTCTTTGTCTTTATGACTTTGTTCACTTACTGTCTTCAAGGACCATCAATGTTGTAACACGTGATTCTATTTCCTTCATTTTTAAGACTGATTAATATGTGTTTAGCATGTTTTATTCATTCATCCATAGATATTTGGGTTGCTTTTACCTCTTGGTTGTTATAATTCTACTATAAACATAGCAGTGTTCATATACTGTTCCCTAATGAGCATTTTTTTCCTGAGCTTATTGATTATGTCATCTCTGGAAAAGTGTCTATTCAGATTCTTTGCCTATCAGATCAGTTGTCTTTTTATTAATAAGGTATAAGAATTCTTTTATTATTAGGTATCTGCCAGATTATAATTTTTGTTGTGAGTTAAAACCTAAGCTTTATTTTTCTTCAACTAGCAATTATCCAGTTCATTTAATAAATAATCCATCTTTTCTCATCGTTTAAAAAATATTTATTGAAGAAATATATGGTATTAGATACTGGGGAAAATAAGCATAATATGATGCAGAGCTAACATCCAAGTACAAAGACAGATGTATGAGTAAAGGATTACTATTGAGCAAGATAATGGTTTAAATAAAGGTTTGTGAAAAATATCTGGGGACCATTAGAAAAGTATCATTATCTACTTAGAGAGGAGAAAAACAAACTAAGAAGAGAAGTTATGACAAGGAAACTTTCAGAGTAAATAGCAAGAACCATGCACTGTGCCGAAGTAGAAAATCTAATATTAAAAACCCATTTTGCAATTATAAAATATTTTTTCACTCTTTCCTCAAGTTGAAGTTAATGTAAATATACTTCAGATATCTTTTGTGATGCTCATTTCTTGGTGCCTGTGTACTTTATCTATTCTATGTTCTGGTTTGTTTGGGCTGCTATAACAAAATACCTTAGATAAGGTAATTTATACACAATAGCAATTTGTTGCTTATAATTCTTAATGCTGGGAAGTCCAAAATCAAGGTAAGGATCACTCTTCTTCAGATGGTGCCTTGTTGTGTCCTCACATGATAGAAGGGAGCAAGGGAGTTGTCTCAACTTTCTTTTATCAGGGTACTAATCCCATTCATGAAAGTGGAGCCTTCATGATTTAATTTCTTTCCACAAGCCCTCATCTCTTAATCTTGTCATTGATTGTTAGGTTCTAACATATGAATTTTAAAGAGACACCAACATTTCTAATGTAGTGATTATTATTTTACATTTATGTAATATGAATAAACATAAGAAGCCATAGTCTTACAAATGTTTTTAATCCACAGATATTCATAATTTAATTAAAATAATTTATGCTTACTGAGCAGAACTGTCAATTATTCTTTTATTTATAACACATAAAGTGTTTATTATTAGCACACAATACCTGCTTTCTTAAAAAGGTATCACTTCACCAAAAGTGATCAAACTATAGTTCTATTTCAAAACTCACGTTACTTATATAAACATTGTACAGATATTATAAGCTTTTTTCTTTTTTTGGTGATCATAGAGTAAATTTATCACTAAATTATTTCTGTATATCTGTACCCAAAATTTTTGACAAGATAAATGAAAAAAAAGTTTTGTTTTAGATATAAAGTGTTAAGTGCTCTATTTGTTTTTTCAGTATACATTTTAATTGGTTTGTATTTAGCACCTCTCTGACAGATTCTAAGTCATCCTTGGAATTTAACTAACCAAGTGGAAAATAGAAATGACAGTAGGTACAGTATAATATAGCCATAATTAATTATCTCACCTATATAGTATACAAAACAGCACCATTTTGACAGCATAGTAAAGGTTTTTGAAATATTATAAAGTAAATAGCAGAAATTTAATTGGTTCAGATCCAAAGAAATTAAAAGGGTTTCTGCTTGTGGTCATCAATCAATTGGTGTATTAATGGGTTATGGGAGGAAATTAAAACTCATTTTCAATATAAGCTTACATTATAACAGGAATAATAGCCTGTTCTTTATTTTTCCACAGTTCTTAGTGGTCTGTGTTCTAATGACTGTCCTCGTAAGATAACAGTAAGTAAACTTAATTCTTGTTCATAAATATTTCTATGAAAAGTCTCTGCCTTGTAAATAGATACACACAAAATAGTGGTTACATGTTATAATTAAAATTGTCATTACTAGTTACTCAAAAAACTTTTCTGGAATTTATTATCTTTCCTAAAGGTATTTTTCAGAGTAAGGATCACCTCGTTTATGAAGCATTTTCTGGTATCCTACCATCATTTCTGGACATTTTGGCATTTATAATATTTGATCACTCATAACATTTTTTAGATTAGATGCCTCTCTATACTAGACTGTAAGCTCTTAAGGTCAAGAACCTTGCCATTGATCCTTGCATACCTGAAATAGAGCAAGGGTCAAATACATACTAGGCAATAGATGATTTTTTCTGCATGGCCTTAATATTGGCCTTCTGTCTAATGGAACAGTTCAGTAAAATAATTTTTTTAAAAAAAAGAAAGAAAGAAAGTAATCAAGTTTGCTCTTCTAAGTAGCTTTTTCATGTAAAATGTAATGAGGATATTACATTATATGAGAAGGCATGTGCAGGGCTATGGATATATCTCAGTTGGTTGAGTACTTGCCTTGAATGCACAAGGCCCTGGGTTCAATCCCCAGCAGCACAGACAGAGAGAGAAAGGGAGAGAGAGAGAGGCATGTTCATACATATATGTGTGTTTATTCATGGGCCTGCTTGGGTCTCTCAATCGCCCTTATTTCATAAAAAAAAAAAATTGTCCCCCATTTAAATACAAGAAAACAGGCCTAGTCATAAAGTTGTTTAATAGTAGAACTGCAACATAAAATTAGGTGTTGTGATTATAGTTTCATATTCTTTCTATCCCATTAAAGCACTATATTCCCAATATTATATACATAATTGTGAAACTTCTATATTTAAAACATGTGGAAACAGATCCTGACCCAGAGATTTAATCTGACCTGGACTTGGGATCAATACCTCTGATGCAGAGAGGATTGGCAGGGGCAGAAAGGTTCGTCTAAAATGCTTTGGGAATCTCTGAAGCTACGATGATGGCTCTAGTTGGGGCAAAGGGGTCTGACCTTTGTACTCCTTTGTACTCCTTCATTGCACTCAGACAATACCAGGAGTAGATTATAATATCTATGACATCACTCCTCTTTTGCTGAGAACAAGTTCCAGGTAGGACCCAGCTGTGAGAAAATAACAGCTAACACTTCAGAAAGCCCACAGAACAAGTGTCAGAGTTCTAGAAAGATCTGGATGATGTATCACTATATCCACTACTGACACCAAAGCATTTACTGCAAGGAAAGGATTGTTATACTGAAATAGATTTTATATTATTATATTTAATCAATTAATATAAATCATAAAATAAAAGATTTTAATTTTATAGATATTAATGTCCATTAATATTAACAGATGTTAGTATTTTGTAATTTTTTTAGTTGTAAAATGAACAGAATATCTTTATTTTATTTATTTATTTTTATGTGGTGCTGAGGATCCAGCCCAGTGCCTCATGCATGCAAGATAAGTGCTCTACCACTGACCCATAACCCCAGCCCCAGATGTTAGTATTAATAAAATATTAATTTAAATAGATTTTATGCTATAATATTTAATTGCTATATTGAAATAGATTTAGACTGAAAAACATAATGATTAATGTAGAGGTCTTTGTCTGCCAAAAAAGAAACTGTTGTGATATATTCAGTTCAAGTGAAAGACTTAAATAGAGAGAAAGGAAACCATCCAAAGCAATTCTTTCATTATAATGAAACTGGGATCTTCTAGAAGGTGCCAGCTAGAACCTACATTCCTAAAAGTGCAAAGAATGATCCAGGGCATAAAACATGGAAGGGTACTCTGGTACTGCATGGCAACACTGCAGGCTACATGAGAAAACATGCCAGGTGTAATATTCAAAGCAAAGAACCATGGACTCTCAAAAACAAATTATATTTTGAGAGTAAGAGAGAGAGAAAGCCACATTCACATAACTTTTATTAGAGCATATTGTTATAATTGTTCTATTTAAATTAAACTTTATTATACTTATACATATGTAGGGTATAGTGCTATCTATGGTTTTAGGCATCCACTGGGGGTCTTGAAATGTATACCTTGAGGATAAGAGGGGTCTAATGTACCTTACACATAGTTGTTCCATCCTTACTATAATCCTATTATATAGATACTCTGACCATCTCTAATTAAAAGTGAGGAAAGTGAAACTCAGAAAAATAAAAATAACTTGCCCAACGTCACACAGTTTTAGAAAAGAAGAAATTTGAACCCAGAATGTGTGTGTGTGTATAATGACTACATTATTATTTTCAGAATTTGTAAAGAAAATATTTAAAATATTCTCAGAATATGAAATATATAGTAAGAACTCACAGGCTTTGGGTTGTTGTATTAGCTAATGCTTCCATAACAAAATATGAGAAACTGGGTAATTTAAACATCAGAAAATTATTTTCTCACAGATCTGGAGAATGGAAGTCCAAGACCATAGTGCCAGGCATGCTGATATTCTCATAGGTTGAGCTCCTTGCATATTAACTTTTTATGTTTCACATCAAGGAATAACTGGAAAATTAGTATTTATTTCTTCCTTTCTTAGAAAATTAGTCTTTCTTTCTTTCTTTCTTTCTTTCTTTTTTTTTTTTTT